TGAAGTATCGAAGCCAAGAACCTCCAGCCCTCGCTAGACAAATTCGGGACCATGAGAAAGGAAGGGAAGGAAAAGCGCTGACAGACCCTGGGTGCTCGCTTTTCGGGAGCCATCCAGGGCACACGTCCTCAGTCACGTCCAGACCTCAGGGGGACTGTCCTTATGGTCACCCATTCGAGTGTCCCCTCAGACAGAATGAGACGTTTTCTCCCAAAGTAGCCCCTTAGGAACATTCCCAGAGCCTCTTGTCTTAGCTTTCACCTGGCGACAGGAATCTAACACATGTAGCCACGCCCCACTCAACAGTAGCCAAAACTGAGGAGACAAATAAAATGTTGCTCAGAATGAATGAACAGAAAGTATTTTATGATGCTACCGATTCCAAATCAAGTAACAACAAGATGGTAGGGATGAGAGCTCATGTTGGTGCCTTCGCACACAAGCCAACTGAAGTAGAAAGTTTACAACTTTTATTTTTATTTCAAAATAATGGGGCAGAGCATATTGTCATGAATAATATATTTTCTTGCTGACACACAACGTGTATAAAATTAAGAGGTAGTTGAAAGTTGAAGCAAAAGCCATAGAGCTGATGATGTAGGCTTAGAAGCCTGGGGAAATAACTATAAATGTGTGTATCTATTTCACATTTTACCAAGTAGGCAAAATATTTCATTTTAATCTGCCCCATGATCTAATCTGATGATTAAATCTCAAGAACAATTATTTTGTTCTCCACTACTCTGTTCCTCAAAGAAAAAAAAAAAAACTCTCTCAATTTATATACATACAGGAAAAAGAAACGGAAAAATCTCAGGTAACTGCCTGCCAACATAAATCATTCCTCAAATATCTGGATAACTGGTGCAAAAGTGTTTTCCTAAAATACCTGGACAACAGCTCTCTCTCTCTCTCTCCTTGGCTGTGACATGCATATGTAAGGATATACTTACTCATATAATAAGAATATACACTCAGGGCACTAGCTGGTTTGGCTCAGTGGATAGAGCGTCAGCCTATGAACTGAAGGGTCCAGGGTGCGATTCTGGTCACGGCCACGTACCTCGGTGCAGGCTCAATCCCCAGCCCTGGTCAGGATGTGTGCGTGAGGCAACAGTGTCTTTCTCACATCCATGTTTCTCTGTCTCTGCCTCTACCTCTCCCTTCCACTCTCTCTGGAAGTCAATGGGAAAATATCCCCCGAGTGAGGATTAACCAACATATGTAATATGTAACATATGTTATATATAATACATATATATGTAATATTTATATTTTTTAGAGTTCCCGCTCAGCAACTCTTGCTGAGTTTTCTCACCATTTGCACCAAGTAAAATCCATAAGTTCAAAAAAAGGTTTCTTTCTTTCTATAAACCTCTTTACTTACTTGTGCCAATTAAACCACAAAGGCCAAAGGAAAATGGGAAGATTTAAAAAAGCCTTGGATTCTTTATTTTAAGCATCAGGAATCCTAATATACCAACAAATAAAAAGTAATCCTTTCTGGTTAGAAACCATATGTAGACGGTGAATGTGTGTGTTTCAGATCTGAGCAGATGGTTGGAGGAAGTGAATAGTGACGCTCAAACTGAACCCCGCTGTGACCTGTCACACGCTGCACAAGGGCCTCCACTTCTCTGAGTGTTCACTTCATCTGTGCGTCTAGACTAGTTCGTTGTGTGGAGATGACTAAAGGAGAAAATGCATGCAAACGGCTATGCACCATGCCCGCTACATCTTAGTGCTCAGCCAATGGCAGCTGTCACCGGCACCCGCAGCTCAGGCGGCCTTTCGGAGAGTGGCAAGCTATCCCTGTGCGTTCACCACTAGGCTGCGTGGACATTGCTATAGAATCACCATGTGTCATGTGGGCTGAATGTTACATGAATTCACTGGAGAAATACACCTCCTTGCAAACATTAGTAGTTAATTAGTAGTTAACTATGAAGAAGATGACATGGCGTTACCGGTCACCTCCCACATCCCTGCACCTGTGCATCCAGCTCTGCTTGCATGCACTGGGGTCTGTGAAAAGATTAATAGAGGCTGGTTTTCAAAAGCTGATAAGAACAATTGTGAATTAAAAGTAGGAAATATCAATAGTGAGATATTATTAGCGTGTTTCTAATAGCTTTTGCATTTGCTGGGATTTTATTGTTCATACAAAAGGTTATCCAAATCATGTGCATTTCAGCACCTCCACCCATGCCCTGCTTTCTGCAAGAACCACTCGCCCATGAATCTTTGTTTTGAGGACACTTTCTCCCCTTGACCCCGTCCACGAGCTCCCTCCCCTTTGCCCTGGGCCCACATTCAGATATTGCTTCCTGTCAAGGTGCTTCTTTCACACTCTCTCTTGCATTCCCCTTCCCTTTCCCTGGCACTACCACTTCCAATGCCAAACCATGGTGCCCTCACACTTCATTCAGCTGTTTCTTAAGCGTGTCTCCCCGGGGCAGGCCTTTCAGGCATAAAGTGGCCAAATCCAAATGTAAGGAGAGGCTTTTATCGGGTACCTCCTCCCCCCCCTCCCCCTCTCCCCCCATCCTTCCCTTGGAAATGTTTAATGGCTCCCTGTTAGAAGGATGAATGTCACAGCCAGACTTTGACAGTGAAAGGGGATGTTACTGATGGGCTTAAACCAGCCCACTGCCACCTCTGCTTCTCAAAGTTTTCACAAAAATATTCCTAAGGGTTGATGCAAAACCAAGCTCCCAAGCTTACGTTTCTTTTAAGATTACATTTAAAATCCATGATATTCTAACATTCCTAGATAAAACCTACCCATGCTTGTCTCCAGGCAAGTGTGACGTTGTAACTCACAATCCGTACCCATGAGCAAAATTTCCAAGCATCTTCCCCGAAACCCTGGAGCAGAACTGACTCCCAGGAGGACTTCCCGCCGGGGAGCACAGCCTATGGCCACGCTGCCTCTGGGGGTGCAGAGGACCCCATTCACAAATGCTGGGAAGTGGGTGATACCCCCTGGAGTTTCCAACCCCTCTGGGAACCCCGAGTCCATAAACGTCTCCCATTCGGACTCTTTAGACCCCAACTCCATGTCAGTGAGTAGTGACCCTTCCCTCTCCATATCCTCCAGCCGCCAGATAAAATACAGCACACCCAGTTCAATGTGAATTTCAGAAAAGCAAAGGGAGATTGTTCGTATGTCTCATGCAGTATTGGGATTAAACTTAGTTCTGTGTCCTATGTGTGCATTTGCTAAATCTAGCAACCCTGGCTGTGGAACCATTCCTGACCACCGTCATCCCCCACCTCCCACCCCCTGACCCCTCCTCTGACCAGGCAGGCCCAGCTCTCCGGGCACATTGAACCTCCTCCTGAAAACTGAGCTAGAAGAAGTCCTGTTGGCAACCTTGACCTTGAGTTACTGCATTTTATCCAGAGGCCCAGCTATGTCATTGGCCACAGATGGCTTTGCCCTCTGTGGACCAGTTTCCTGTGCTGAATGGGTGGTGAGGTGAGATGACAGTTGACTATATGCTCTCTTGGGACCTTCCCTATCTAACATTCTGTAGCTCTAAAGCATCCAGGTATTGCATCTATTCGTCGCTGGCCAACAAAGGTGCACCTGTCACTAGAGCCCACAATTATCCTCTGAAGGTTTGCATCTCCCCAAGATGCTCGCTCTCCCTTGGGTTACAGTGGTGATCGGAGGAGCCTGCCAAGAGGCGGGTGTTACCTGGGAAGTTCAGTACATTCTTCCATGTTGTATTATAAGTTAGGCACTTATTAATCTTCGGAAACCTTCCTAGTCATCACAGCTTAGGAGACGGTAATTCTTGTGGGGAAGGTGTGTAGGATGAATGCAAACTGGATTAATTAATTTGAACTTTTGATGGTGAGACCTGGCATGGATCTCTTCTATGGATGAGATCCGTATGCCTATCGTTTTTCTCCCATTTTTCTTAATTTATTCATCTTACTAATTAAAGGATTATCATCTGGCCATCACTTGTCCTGGTGACCACTAACAGTAGAAAAATGCCTTCAAGGTCACCTGGGCAGGACATCCCTAGGAGGACAGCTCAAAAGCCTGGCTAGAAATGTGTGCTCCAGCCTGTTAGGTAAGATGGTGGAGAAAGGGGATTATAGGAGGGAAGGTGGAGGAATTTAAATGGAAAGGGGAAATTAAATGGAAAGGGGAGATTTGGAGGAAGGAGGTGCCCATCTGAGCTCCTGCGGCCACCTGGCCAGGTGGGCACCCAAACTGGATCCCCCAGAGAGCAGAGGAGATCCATGCCGGCTCTCAGCCAGGTTTTCGGTGAGTGCTGAAAGAGGGAAGCAAGCGCCCAAGGGGATAAGGGGAATCAGCAACCTGGTCCCTGGAGGCTGTGTCTGCTCACTCACTACCCGATGAGTTCTCTGCGTCTCCAGTGAGCGCCTGGCAGGCTGAGCCTCTCTTACATGCCTCAGGCCTGCACCTGAGCTGCACCAACCATCTCTGCTCACTCTGCTCCTGCTTCCTCCAGATCTTCCCCATCGCCCCCTCCTGTCCTGCGGGATCCCATTCCTCCACCTTCCCTCCTGTAATCCCCTTTCTCCACCATCTTACCTAACCGCTGGAGCACACATTTCTGTCCTGTGTAAGAAAATGCACGTCAGCGTTCTGTCTTAATCTTTCATCCGTTTATAGTTTGTGGAAGAGAGCTGAGCGGGGCCCCGGCCGTGTACATTCTGGAGAAGGCTATTCCTGCTTAACGTGAATGAAGCATTAAGAGGAAAACGAGGGGAGCTCGGTTGGTTGGTTGGTTGGCATCCCACCAAACACCAAAATGTTGCCGGTTGGACTCCCGCGGCCAGGGCACAGGCCTGGGTTGTGGCTCAGTTCCCGGCTGGTCGCTGTTCCACTCTCACATCAATGTTTTTCTCTCTTCCGTTCCTTTCCTCTCTCTCTAAAAATCAATTTAAAAATTAAAAAAAAAAAAAAAAAGAGGAAGCTGAGGGAGGAGGGATGCTAACCCTGCCCTCTGTTCCAGCCTACAAGGAGAAAATGAAGGAGCTGTCCGTGCTCTCGCTCATCTGCTCCTGCTTCTACCCCGAGCCCCGCAACATCAGCATCTACACCTACGACGGTGAGTTCCCCGCAGAAAGGCTGCCCCCGCCCGGCGGGGCCTGTCCTCTCTCCCTCCCAGCTCCTTGTCTGATCGAATCCACGTCTGGGGGAGCTTGGTCCTCACGTGCTGGGCCCAGCTACCAGGCCTTATTACTTGTCTATGGCTCAAAACAGTTCGAATTTGGGGTCAATAACAGGACGGTGTGTGGGAACTGGAGGACTTCGTTATGTCTCATCATTTAGCCTGAAAGTGCCTCCGGCCTAGAAATTCCCACACAAAACCAGCCAAGTCTGTGCTGCTTGGTTTTCCTGTGAAGCCCACATTTATGCAAAAGGAAAATCAAGTTTAGGTTAAAGTCAATCCAGGCTATTTTCTCCTAAGAATGTCTGCCATTACTCAACGCCCTGTGGACATTGTTGAGTTCCCCGACACCGTAAATATTTATTCTCTTAAAATGTATCCACGATCGCACCGCAGGAAGAGGTCTTGAATTTTCCAAACGAGGTGGAGCAAGGACCCCACGCGGCCTGTGTCCCTGTCTGGCGGCACAGCAGTGCTGCTTCCCACCGCTGGGACTCAGGTGGTTAGAGCGAGGCCTGCCTCACCATCCTCTCCCGTTCCTTCCCCAGACATGGAAGTGAAGCAGATCAACAAACGTGCCTCTGGCCAGGCTTTTGAGCTGATCTTAAAGCCACCATCTCCCGTCTCAGAAGCCCCGCGCACTTTAGCTTCTCCCAAGAAGAAAGACCTGTCCCTGGAGGAGATTCAGAAGAAGCTGGAGGCTGCTGAGGAGAGAAGAAAGGTAACTTTCCAGGACATTTTTTTTTTAATGCATGCTTAATTGTGGTTGACATACATTAAAATAGTCTCTCTCATTCTCTCTCTCTCTCTCTCTCTCTCTCTCTCTCTCTCTCTCTCTCACACACACACACACACACACACACACACACACACACACACACACTCCCCTGGCTGAGGTTCCAGTGGGTCCTCAGTAGACCTGGAGTCAGGTGACCACTAACAGTAAAAGTTGCTGCTTTTAGACTAGCTAGAGCTATAGGTCTCAGACCCTCAAAGAGCTCCATGCCCGGGTGCCCTGCCCCCATCGCGGGTCGCCCTGCCCCAGTCCCTCCCGCTCAGGGAGAAGGCACGGCCTCAGATAACCTTACTCCAGGGCTGGCGGTGGGAGGCATGCAGGTCGGTGCTCCTCCCTCTCCGGCCTGCGGTGCTCCTCCCTCTCCGGCCTGCATCCCACCCCCAGTGCAGTGCATGGTTTTCCTTGGAACCAGGAACCACCCCTCGGCCCTCTGAGATTTTCCCTGCCCAGATGCTCCCCCAGGGTGAGTGCCAAGCGCTTGCCCTGCCCTCCCCAGGCTGAGCTGCTGCCGGAGAAGTTGTTGCTCCCACAGTCCGAGCGTCAGGAGCTGCCCTGGGAGCTGTGAGTGTCGTCCTGTGCTCTCTTTTCCTTGGTGGCATTTTTTCTCTTTTCCACTGGTTTGTGTTAGAGCCCTTGTCTTTGCCACCATCAGGTGGCCAAGAAAAGCCAAGGGCTTAAAAACAGAGGCACTCGGAAACCCCAAGGGCTGTGCACACAGCAACAGGAGTTCTGTCTGCATGTATCTGTACCGACGGTGTGAGTATGGGCATCCATCCCACGAAGATGCCTTTAATCAGCCCAAGAGGAATTACGTTAGCTAATTCATATCTACATTGTATTTTCCACTGACATTAGCACCATGTATTTCTAGGATTGTTTAGTTACTAAGAATATACTCCATATCCAATCTTGTGATTTGAATGGACACTCTGCATTTATAATAATTTTTAATTTTATTAAGATGCTGTCTATAAAAAGCCAACCCAGTAAACACTTCTATGTGATAGGTATAAAGAGAATGAAGATAGTCCTTCTAAAAACTGAAGTTTCTAACAAGGAGTACAGGACAAATACGTATGTGTGTGTGTGTGTGTGTGTGTGTGTGTGTGTGTGTGTCTGTGTGTCTATGTGTGGGTGCACACATCTATACTAATAGAAGGGTAATATGCTAATTAGACTGGGTAGACCGGACATCTTCTGGATGTCTTCCTGGACAAAGCCATGGTGGCAGGGACCAAGGCAGAGACAGTTAAGGGTGATCAGGCAGGCAGGCAGAGTGGTTAGGGGCAAGCAGGCCATAAGGGGAGAGCGGTTAGGGGTGATCAAGCTGTCAGGGGAGAGTGGATAGGGGTGATCAGGCAGGCAGACAGAGATGGTAAGGAGCCAGTGGTCCGAATTGTGAGAGGGATGTCTGACTGCCGGTTTAGGCCCAAGCCTTGCAGGATTGGGCCTAAACCGGCAGTCGGACATCCCCTGTGGAGTCCTGGATTGGAGAAGGTGCAGACCAGGCTGAGGGACACTCCCCCCTACATGAATTTTTTGCACCAGGCCTCTAGTATGTATATGTGTGTGTGCTTGTACATATACATGCAGATACATACATATGTATGTAGTATCAAATAGCAAGGCTCAAATATTAGAAGTCCTCAGGCTAACTTTTCTGAACCAGAAAATACTTTTTGTTTAAGGTGGGAAACAATACAATCTTCCTGTGGTTGAAAACCATCTTGCTGTGTCCTGTAATACGCTGATTGTGATTTCACTTTTCACTGCAGAGTGATGTTCTCGAATGTCTGAGAAGGACTTCTTTATTTATTACATACATAGTTATTGAATTTTCCCACTCACTGTTGCCCTAAGTCAGAATTTTAAAAGGAGGAAACTAGCTATTAACCTGAGTATATGCATAGAAAGTTGCTTTAAAAATATTTTTTTCACTTTTGGGGTTGTTAATTATAGCTTTCCTTGTACAGCAGAGCTAAGTTAATTTCATCCATGACCATCCACCAAGACTTGGCTGCTAACGGATATTAATAATGAACTGTCACAGCAGTGAGCACGCTGCACACAGGCTGTTCAGTCCTTCTCCCAGGCACTGGCATCAGAGGACACAGGTTCACACAGGCAGGGTCTGCCACTTGGTTAGAATACAAACCCAGTGACTGAGCTAAAATGGAAACTTAGAGATGAAAATCCTGCAGCCGGTTCAGGATGTTGCTTGTGTTTGTAGGTCAGATATTTAATTGGAAGGAAATCATCAAAAGAAAAGGAAGAACAACACAAAAATGATCAATATTAACTGGGAGTTTTCATTAAACTCCTAGAGTTAACTACTTACTGGTTCTGGTAAAATTCCTGCCCCCTAACAACAATAACTTACCAGCAATGAAACATTTATACAATTGAATTGAACTAGAAATTGGCCTCGTGGCTAACAGACATCTACACATATGACCATCCGCATTATGAATCCCAAGAAAAATGTTCTTCAGAACTCTTTAAAATCAGTATTCCCCTGCATTCTTGGTATGGCTTCTTGTTACAGTTTTCAAGGCAAAAATCATTATATGGATTATGTCCTGGCAGTGGGGCTTTAATTAGAAGAAAATACAACTAATTAACAGAAAGTATCAACCAAAAAAATCATTAATTGATTTTATTCTGTTGGGTTGTTCTGACTTTGATTAGTGTTCATTTGGAGAACTGTTCATTTTCTTTAAAAAGCAAGTGCATATATCTAAGCAAGAAGGTGCCTAAAACCAAAATCTGGCTCAACTAGCTAAAACAGGAGCAGAGTGTGTGACTAGAAAGTCTAGGAGGGGTTGCAGCTTCAAAAACAGCTGGATTCAGGAGTCAGAGCAACATTGTCAGAAAATGTTCTTTTCATCTGCTTCCAATTGGTTTCAATAGTAAGAGTCTTTCAAAGAGTCACCCCAAATTATTGACCTCAAAAATTAGTAACCCCTGCAGAAAGAGCTCCTGTTTCCTAAGAGCTCTGACAAAAGCCCTGGAATTGATAGTAGTCTGTCCAGGATCACATGCCCGACCCAAAAGAGGCAGCACTTTGATTGGCTAGCCTGGATCACGTGACCTGAAGAGATAGATGTCGCTAAGATCTCTGAGATTAGAAGTGAGGAGGAGTAATGCCTCAAAAGACTACTGACATGCTCTTTCCTGAAGAAAGGGAAATGAATGTTGACAAGAAAAATTACAAGCATCCAGCTTTTATCTGCAAATGTTAGATGACCATTAGAATAATTATTTTGCTCATGCACTATTCAATGTGTAATTCTCTTCTTTAGCCCTGCTGACATTCTGTGTGGATATTTTCATATAAAAAGAACAACAACAAAAAAATCCAGCTATGCAGCTATCTAGACCAGCACTGTCCAACAGAAATATAATGTGAATTACAGAGGTATTTTAAATTCTTCTAGCAGACACATTAAAAAAGATAAAAAGGAATCATGAAACTAGCCACGTGTGGCTACCCAGCTGGATGGCACAGATACAGTTGATTAGACCTGGAAACTCTTAGTGAACAATGGCGGAACTTTAGGCCTAACTTTTTCAAAGTGGTACCGGATAATTATTCAGATTCAACTTTACTTTGTATTTTTCCTTACATATTCTCTAATAATTATAATAATTGATATAAAGTAAGAAAGATGCTTCCACACTATGATTGCAACCTGCATCATCCGAACCAACACAGGCAGAGTTTAGGACCTACAGGAAGGGGTGGGCTCTTCTCAACCCCACACTTCCATCCTTGCCCACTTAGGTCTCAGGTTATGTGTCAGTTCCTCACCTTGGGGAGGGAGCTCCGCCAAGCCCCTTTTTATTGTTATTCTCTCTCATGGTACTCAGGACTGTCTTTCCTTTGCAATCCTCAGCACAGTTGGTGCACACAATTGGTAAGCATATGTTTATCTGCATATTTACTTAGCTCTATATCATATATATATATATATATATATATATATATATATATATATATATAAGCCTAAGCGATTGAACAATCAGTCAATCATTCGCTATGACATGCACTGATTACCAGGGGGCAAACACTCAATACAGGAGCTGGCCCATGGTGATCAGTGCACTCCCACAGCCAACCTCCCTTTGTCCCTGCCTCCAGCCAGCTGGTCCCAATAGGCCCCAATCAGGACTGAACAAGATGGCCCCACTGGGCCCCAATTGCTGGCCAGGCTGAGAGACTCCACCCCTGCACAAATTTGTGCACCAGACCTCTAGTTAGATTATAAACTCCATGAAGGTAGAGGTTATGTCTTCTATTTAATAGTGCTTGGCCTCTTGAATATGAGAACATTGGAAAAGCAACATGAAGGGTAGAACACCTGAAGTAAAGAGAATGATGCGTGCAAAAGCCCTGAGGGAGGAGGATGCTAGGATTGTTTGAGAAATAATGAGGACAGTGTGGCTGGAGCAGAAAGAGCAAGGGCAGACTGGTAGGAACTGAGCATTGTAAGGAATTTGACTTTCAAGTGCATGGAAGGTCACTGAGGAAGATAAAACCATTTCACTCCTTGATATGAATTGCAACTTCTTTTCACAGAAATATCTGCTTTAAAAAGCTGGGTGACTAGGAAAATGAAGAGTGTTAGATAACTAGAGAGGCATGAATGATGCCAGAACTGCGGGTGCCCAGAAAAGATGAGGAAGTGTCTTCAGGACAGTGGGTAGACCGGCAGTTCGAACCAGTGGGTCTGGGTGGGGAGTGGGTGAGCAGTGAGCTGAGATTGTGGAGAGCCTAGAATGCCAAGTCAGGTGCACACATTCCGTTATGTATGAAACAGGAGTCACCAAAGGCTCTCACAACCACAGGGTCCAGCCTCGCCTTGGGGTCAGCAATATTTCCACTGCTCTGGACCATTGCCTTTCCCTTATAGTACACATTTTTA